TCAAGATAAAGGACCAAAGCTTATAAAAGCTTGGCTTCATAACCATGCTATCATCCCCAATGAGGCTCAGAACTTGGACTGAGTTTGCAGTGGTAAAATAAACCCTCTGTGTTTTGAATAGGATCTGAATGTTTCTGCATTGCCTTCTTTCATGCATGATTAAGTTATACAATCTAAGAAGCTGTTATGCAGTGCTTTTCCAGTCTTTACACAGTATCAAAGTGATCTGTCCTACACAGCTGAGCATATTACTTCCAATCTCACTCTGCATTTTAAGTGGTGAGGAAAGTGTTGCCGGGAATTCGATAATACTCAGCAGCACAGTGGATGTCTTGGTGGAGAGCCATGTTTTGAATTGGTTCTGAAGGTGCAGCATCAACCTTAGCAAGATGCCAAGAGCATGGTTCCATTTGATTTCAGACAGAGTCAAAACAATTGATGTCAGCCCATGAGAAATGGTGGTAATAGTCACTCAAAGAGTCATTGTTTTCTTATGTGACCAGGCTTCCTCCAGTTAGCATGTGCTGAGATGGGGATAGCTTCAGTGGAGTTTGTGAAGTGTCTGTTCTTTCTTGTTTTTACTGTACAACTCTTGCCTCCATCTGTCGTTGTGCTTTTCTCTGTGAAGCACTTTTAAAGGAATTTTGCACAACTCGACATGACACTGACTGATGCTGACAGAAGAGTTTATTACTGTATCGAGGGATCAACAGTGGGTGAGGTTTCAAATAACAATTGTCTGACTCTCCCCATCTCTCTGTCTCTAAACACACAAGTCAACTCCTCACTGTGTCCTAATGGAAACTACTAGACTGCTCAGTTGTGTCCATGTGTCCGTGTGTGTGTATTGTGACACTTGTGTGTATTGGAAAGACATCAGTCTATCTTGCTGGTGCTGGTACAACTATGTTAAGTACACCAGTGCTTTCAGAGATCTGCAATCTCCAGACACACCGGTCCTCTCAAACATCTGCATTGTCACATGTATGTAGCTTTATGTGCATATTCAGTTAAACAGAAACACACATATACTTTAACAGACATACAGACATTATTATTTATGGTCTCACACAACCACAAATGTTGTTAAATATGCATAGTCGGATTACATGAGCTGTGGCAACAATTAGATATAATACACAAAGATAATAACAGCAATTTTTACACTTAAGGGAATGATTAACTGCTGGCAAAATATGCAGAAAATTATGTTTTAAGCAGCATGTGCTAGTTTGTTTGTATGTTTTAGTCAAGCATGTGTTTCCTTTACCATCTCAAGTGTAAGTCAAAGACACAAAGTCTGCCAATTACACTCAACTTTATGGACAGATAGTTTCGAATAAACTTCAGTTATGTGTAAATCACGATGCACCAAATTTACAATGCAAAATGTACTGAGGCTCTCACTATATAAAACTTTGTAAGAAATGTTTTTCAGGTCAATTTAGTTCCAGGCTTATTTAAAAAATTACATTAAATTAAATTAAGTGAAAACAGCAGCAAACAAAATGACACTAGTTATCAAACAAGCAAACAGGTTTGCTATAAAAATGAAACTGACATAAAGCCAGGTATGGAAGCCAAAGCACAATCATTAATTGCTTATCTAAAAATATTGTGAATGTGTGGTATTTTTACCTTTATCTTTAAATGTATAAACACAATGCTGTCTCCTTCTTGGCCCATATTCCAAAAACAATAACACATATGTTTTAGAAAACTCAAATCTGCTTTAAAAGGTGAGTTTTATTTTGATTGTGTTTCCATTTATTTTATTCCTCAAATATTCAAACCTGGGACTTGATCCAAGCCAGAAATAATATCAGAATCAGAATTAAGAAGTCAGAAAATCTGAATCAACTTCTAAATCTAAACTTTATCTAAACCTGACACATGGTCCAGATTTGTATGTTCACGGTAGCTGGGTATGAGATGGACACTCTAGCAAAGTGTGTGAACTAAAGCCCAGTGCACTTCAAGGCCAGCAGCAGGAGAGTAGGGTAATAATTTATAGATGAGTGTGAGACCACCCAAAGACTGGGGCCCCCTGACAGCTGCTTACCATGATTGCATGGGGGAATGCAGTGTCCAGATACAAGTATATATTTTTAAACATGCACATAACACATGCACAAATATACACCTGTGCGTACAGACATAAAGCATGTAGTAAGTAATCTTTAACAACTATCAGCCTCTTATAGTTACCATGATAAATTGCAGCAACATTTATAAAAACGGATCTTTTTCTCCCGTATGTTAATCGGGAACAGTTATAGTAGTAAGACTGTGGCCCGGTAAGCAAGGTGTAATTAATATTCACTGATTGCCAAGCTTTTCAGCACCAACATTCTGTTAGGTACACTGGCCCAGACTAGGCAAACGGTGTCTGGAAAAGCATGTTATCTACGATGAATACTGGTAAAAGTAGTACCCGGCTCCTCCTACTCCTACAACCTACTTACTATAGCAGAAACTCAAAAAGTGTGCTTGAATAGGGTTGTTATCTGTAAGTCTATAACAACCGAGCATACACACAGATGTGCTTCTGCTCACATTTCACCCTGGCACACACATTACAGAGGCAGGTTTCTGTTCACTGGACCAGCTTTGGAGAGCTCTGATAGCTCTGCTGGCCCATGTAAAAAGGCTCACCTCTGTACTGCAGAATCCAATTGCTCCTGCAGCAACAGAATCCCCTGACAGTTCACCTGCTTCTATTCATGCTGCTAGAGTCCTGTAGATGAGGGATCATATCTGCTAGGAGAGGGACACGGATTAACTTTTCCAAAAGAAGAGACAGGGACTTGAAGATTAGATTACTCCTTTCTTGAAAACCAACTCGTTTTGGCTCTAGGCACCCTCCTGATCCTCTTATCCTCTTCTTCTCTACTGCTCCCATCTTCTGTCACTCAGGACTACACTGAAGAAGAGCAGTAAAAGGAAAAAAAGTGTAATTGGAGTGAATTTGTATCTGTGCAGGTGTGTGAGGGAGCATACAATAGGTTAGCTGTATGTGTATGTGCATGTGCACTTTTACTTTCCTGCTCACAAATTCTAATATGTCTGTGTGCAGCTGAAGTTAGGCTGTCTTCAGTTTTGTGTGTGTATGTAGAAGTATAATTCAGCATGTTTGGCATGTCTTAGTTTCCATTTATACTTGTTTGTACACATTGTACAAATATCACAACAGACAAGTGTCTGCATACATATAGAGGTACTGTGTGTGTACCTGTGCTATCAATTGTGTGTCTGTGTGCCAGGTCTAGGGCTTCTTTGATTCTTTAAGAGGTGGTAAAAAAAGGAGCTGTAATATCTGCCAGGACTGTTTTCTATGAAAAGTCACTGGGGAGGTGGAGGTGCAGGGAAGGGCAGACCTGTTGTTCCCTCTGGGCCAGACATCACTCTATACTCTGTGTCTACTCCTTTACAAATCCACCAAGACTGTAGCACGTCTATGCCTGAGGTGGCACATCAGAGGAAATGTGTCAGTACTCTGTAGTGTTGTTGGATCTGGAATACAAGGTAACAGATCAGAGTAATATGGTTTGTGCATTGTGGAGTTTGTTAAGCGTTTGAGTTTACCCCATTTGTCCCCCTGTGTATTGTGGGTGTATCCTTCGTGTGACTTTAAATATTCCTTTACCTCTGCACCTACTGGAAAATCTAAAAGTGCACATCAGTAGAATGTCTTTTTTTATTCACAATGTCCCTTTCCAACCTCCTGTTGCTTTCTCCCTTTCAATCATAAAACTACTTCTGTCTACTTACAAAATACAAAATAGGGTTTGTAAAAAGAGCACTCTGCAAAAGAAAGCACACAGGTTTGATTCAATCCTGTCAAAAAAAACTGTAGTGAAAAGCTAATGCTAGTGTTAGCTCCTTGCGTCCCATCATGGAGGTACTGTATTAAGGGAAAACTGTGGCCAGTTGTGTGCGTATGCATGAGAATATATGGTTGTGTGCATGTGATTAAACAAGAATGTGTGTATGTTTGTTTGTATGAAGTATGAACTTACATGCTTATGTATTTTCCCAAAAGTGATTAATCTCAATACATTCATTGTCTTTCACTCATCACAGGAGGGAGTTTATTTTCTCTTTCCTATGCTAATTTATCTCAGTTGAAGAGAGAATGTGGCTGTTAAAGAGTGTAATATTATACCCTCTTTGACTTCTAACAGATTTCAACAAACACTGGTGACTCATGTGTCCCACTGCTCAAAATGGCAGATGGAAAATGCATGTTTCTAACATGAAAACATGGTTGACCAATGCCGAGCTTGTTTATGAATATGGGTTTGTACGTATGCCTAGAAATTGAGTGTTTGTGCCAGCATCTGCATACTGTATATACATACATTTGTAAATGCAGAGTTCGAGGGTTTTATGGGTTGGCGTATTGCAAGTGTTCTATCACAACTTCTCTGTTGACAGATTAACCTCATCAAAGCTCAGACAACATATTTGAGTTCTCAATTAGTTTTCAGTGCTTTGACAAGGTTTCTGAAGCATTTTTCCAGAGCAGCAGCATCCCCCCCAGCAGTGTCCTGACTTGTGTTTTGAAAAATTCATATTTTCACTACAACAGTCCTGTCTTACTTATTTGCAATTATTTTAAAAAATAATTCAAGTCAGGTCATATTTTAATTGTACAGCCCTCTATCAACAGCCTGTCCAGTTTATGACACCCTCTGCTCTTAGACTCTCAAATCACTTATGGTATATTCCTCCAAAAAATGGACAAAACCTCAAGAAGAGCAACAGAGGAGGAATCCCTATTCCATGACAGACAGATGTGCAATAACCTAGATAGCAAAATGCAAATGTTAACATCTCAACGATACATGTGGCATTTATGCAAGAAAGCATCTGGCATGCCTGTTTGTGTGAGTGTGTTGTATGTGTGTTTGCACTCACAGGAGTAAATCTTGGAAGTCTTTACCCACACTTAACCACATCTGAGTGAAATCTCTCCTGCCTCTTCACAGGAAGCATCTGCCTCTATGATGCTAACTAATGATGGCCCGAGCAGCTTGCCATAACCCTCCCAATTATCAGTCCCCAAGCCTTGGATTTCACCCTCTGTGAGGTCACCCCATCCCCCATGTCAGAGTCAGTTTTGTTTGGTAAGTAAATACAGCTTCATGCCCCTTTTTTATGTATTCTTCATTCATAAAATGAGACACTAGATACAAGACAAATCCATTAGATTTTTAATTACCTAGGCACTAAATTGTCAGGAAGTCACCATGGTTTGCTTTGATACTGCTGTTTGTGTGCACTCATGGTCTGTGATCACAGAGATCAGTCCTCCCTGGACCAATCTTATTTTGAACTATTCATGACAAATACAAGGAAACAAGCAATTTGTGTCAGATATTTCTTCTTTCTTTTTTGTTCACTGACAGCATTCATCACTGAGTCTGCATGATATTTTTGAGATTAGCTTGCGGTTATTACAGCTGCTGCATCAGAAGCCGTCACCAGTTGTTAAATAACCACTGACTGCAGGTTGAATGAAGCAGTTACAGTCTCAAGAAGTTTTAGTTAAGTCATCTGAAATGTGTCGAATACAGAATCATGATGTTATGCTAAACAAGGGTGAAGATGTAATGTAAATATAGTAAGTATGTTGACGGGATATTTGAGAGAAGGGATGTTTTATATGGTGGCCCCTAAGGACAAACCACATACATGAGAAGAAACACAAACATGATGGGAAATGTTTTACAAATCCAGAGTCCAAAACTTGTACAAATCTGCAATAAAAATATGCAATAAGAATCGGTACAAGTGTTCTGGGATCAGCAGCAAAGTTACAACTGAGTTCATGTAATATCAAACTTTATTTTTCAAATTTGATATGTTTAACAAACCAAAAAATGCTTGTAAATGTCAAATACATGGTCATTTGTATATGTTTTGGTATATTTTATATTTCTGGATTTGGAACGTCCCATAACGTTCATGCTTCCACTCATGTATGTGCTTTGTCCTTAGGGGTCACCATAGTTTCTGAGATATACATAATTACTAGAGGAGAAGAGAGGCTGATCCAATTTAACACAGTTTGTTGGTGATAAATTCTAATCAGGAAGTGTTTGATGGTGTCACACATATCATTATTATGCATTTGTGTCTATGTGTATGAGCTCGGTCGTTAAATATTCATCAGAGAGCGTCAATGTTTTTGGAGGACTACATATGGGGTAATTAGAGCAATAGTTTATACCAACATAAACAACAGCCTTCTGGTGCAGAGGGACTCAGCTTTAATGTTGGGCAGGGACAGAGGAATTGTGTGTGCCTGTGTGTTTGTGTCTTTCTGGATGCTTGTCAGTTAGTGTTAGATGAATGTATGTGTTTTATGCATGCATGTGTTTGTAATGGGAAACAGGCATTATCAGAGAGTGTGTGTGTGTGTGTGTGTGTGTGTGTGTTGGGGGGATTCCATGTTAAATGTGAAACAGACAGTGGCAGTGCTATAGTGGCACAGGGGGGAAAGGCATGACCATCTAAAGTGCCCCCTGGAGAATTAGAGAATCCATCCCCAGCCACTCAGTTACTGTGTGTGTGTGTGTGTGTGTGTGTGTGTAAATGCAGCTGCAGGTGATATGAAAGGTCAGGTGATACATTTGTGTTAGTGTGATACCAGCTGGATTTTTTTTTACACTGAAGAACACACAAAATAATAATTGCTTTGATAATAACAGGGGTTTCTGCACCATGGTCACTTTCCAAAATACATATTGTCCTGGATGTTTGGTTTGGTGGAAGAAATGCTAAGAGAAATGTTTGGTTATTATCAGCCTGCTAATAAATAAATCAAATTATCATAAAGTGAGTGCTCTGAATTTACTGTAAGAATTGTAATATAATTTGATTTTGATTTCTATAGAAAAGGCCGTTAGATTATTCATAAAGAAACTGTGGTTACTAGACCCTGAATTACTGCTGGACTTTTTTTTTAAGTGTCAGACCCCCAAGAACTGCTTCATAAGAAAATATTTACTACTCTTTCATTAGATTCATCACCAGTCTGTGATGTCAGTACATTTTAAGAGTTATCTTGTCATGACATACTATAATTAGCTTCTTTTTTTTTTTTTATCTTCCTTGTACTTTTTGACTGTACTGTTCATAGGTTGAAAGGTGCAAAGCAATGGTAGAACAAGAGGTTTTCAAATATAGAAAAACGGACTGTCACACAGAATATACAAACTGTGCAGTGGCTTTTCTGGTGTATTTCAAGCTACTCTGGGGTCAGAACTGCTCTCTGTATATTTTTCGTGATGGATTTCTCACATTAACATTGTTGAATGTTAATGCAGAATGACTCGTATGGAAACAGGACAGGACAGCCGAGTCTCCTGGTGATTCTGCAGATTTACATCCCACACACGTGTTTTTTTTTTTAATAATGCAGGATATAAAGTAGTGTTCTTTCAATGTAACATGGCAAATAATGAGTGTGGAGTTTGTGGTGATGGCCGGGTCTGTACCATGTGCATTAATCTTTTAATTATGATGTCAATCTAACCTTAAATCAAGCTTGATCTATGGTCCAGAACATCTGCTAAATGGCTGTGGTGAGATTGTTTTCTTAGCTGCTGCTTCCAAGGTCGAGATTGAACTTACATTTCAGTTTTTATGTAAACATGGATAAAAGTCATTTAAGTGCTAAAAAAAAACATGGTAATTTGAACGTATGTGCAATTCCATAACATCATGGCAACTCCATTTGTTAAATGAACCTTGTGGTGCTTTCTCAGCTTTATCACATAGTTAGAATGATTATTGAAAATATAAATTTCCATTACGTATTTAAGGTTGTCATTAGATGTAATCTGGAGTTTTGAAGTATTTCTCAAAAGAAATCAGTCTATCAAGAGGATGCTGTTGTTTGATTCTGCGGTGCTAATAGCAAAACCTGTTGTACACAGGTTTACCCTCTGATCATGTTCCATTGTATCATAGCTAAACAGAGACACAAGCCGTACTGCCAATGCATCATGTTTAATGTTTAATTAGTTTCCACCTGAATGTTGTACTTGCCTTGGAGTTTGATTAGCAGTATTACTGTGTTGGCTCATCTTCTCTTTGTTCTGTCAGCAACCCCCTCTGTTCTGGAGCGATGTTTGTGTCTGTGGTGGTGAAGGTCAGCTCTCCCTGGTGTGTATTGTGATTTGGTTGGTCTATCTTCTCCAGAATTAGTTGTTTCAAAACAAAAGAATGGCTGAGAGCTTTGTTTGCATTTGTGTTCTGTCTGTACAGTAATTTATTGACACATATGTGTGTGGATATGCTCATTTATGTTTACAGCTGTAGTTACATATGTGCATTTTTTGTGAATGTTCAAGAGAGGATATTTTTTTTATCTCAAACACATGTATCATCTTTGTCTCTTCTAGGCTTTGTCTGCACACCTGTTTGTCTCATATTGCATTCAAAGGTCTCCTGACTTGCTTTATGTGATTCTTTTAGGATTTGAGCGTGTAGTTGTGCACCACTGTTAGGATGTTGTGTGTGAGAGTGTGCTTGTGTGGCCTATGAATGCATTGACATTTATTGCTGCCGTCACAGCCACAAACACCTACCAAAGCCTTTTCATCAGCTCCCACAAAGTAGAAGACTACAGCACCCTTTTCAGCTGAGGAAAATCCCAACATAGCAGCACTGTGCATACACTCACAGAAAATTGATGGCTTTCCAAAAAATGTGCATGCCATAAATAGAGAAAGTGTGAGGCTTTGCACCATCACTCTTTTATATGTGCTTTGTTTATGGGCAGCAATTTGACCACTACACTACAAATTTGATTAAAACTGGTAAAAAATGAAAGAGTTGTTGCAGTTCAGACAATAAATTAGATCAAAAGTAAAGTTTTCATTTTGTCATAAAAGTTGACGTTTCTGTGGTCAAGGGGCGAATTCATGCAGTTCATGTATTTTATTAAGTTACAGCATTTTCATACTTTGCACCCCAGCACCGCCCCGTCACCAATCAGGTCATTTCCTTACACGCTTATGTGTAAATCTATGTGTTGCAAATGCACACATACATGCACACTTGCACACAGAAAGTGGGTGTACACACAAACTGACCCATAAACAGTGCACAGCACCACATGTGTACATACCTGCATACCTACACTCACATACTTCACTAAACCTGTGTGGACATAATACACATTCTCATCAGGGTAATGTGCTTTTTGTGCAGCAGTGGTGAATGAGCGTGATACTGTAGTGATCTCTGTCCCGGAGTCTAAAGGCCTCCAGGGACCTCGGTGTAGCCTGTAGTCGGCAAGTAACAACCAGCATAGTGTCAGCATGCAAACCATTGGGACCTCATTTTTAAAATAATAACACTGTATTGTAAATATATAAGTTATTAATAGGAACTTGCTCTTCTTGTTTAGTGGCTCGACCCTGATACTGAAAATCCAATTTAGTAAAATAAGCAGCTTTCAGTGGAGACGCTAAAATCTTTCAGCAATAACACCATCACACCATTATCTAGGGTGACTTCAAATCATGTCACATTAATACTAACAGAATAATGCACTGTTGAGCTGTGAGTATAACTAGAAGATGTTTTTAATTTTGTTGTTTGTGGTGTGCTTTACCTTTTCCTGTGAATATTTATTCCAACATAAATGACATGAATTTGAGTTGAGATGTTTACAGTGCAGCTACAATGGAGTTTGTGACTCCAAATATTTATTTCAGGTTCAGTCCTAAATAATCAAAAAGCAAGGGCCTGTCTCGTTCAGCACTAACATTCACCTGCAGCATATAACAAAATGCAGTCAGTGGAGGCCATATAGTGATAACAGAGAACAACACCAACTTATTCACAGCATGACTTGCACAAAAGTCTTTTTTCCCAGCGACACACATGGTACAAGGAAACCCAGCTTCACATACTGTATGAAGTTTCACATTGGTGAACTGCACCATAAATTTTACTGACCACTTTTCTCTTCTTCCTGAAACACTGTTTTGACTGTGCAAAACAATGGGTGAAATTTAAGTACCACATAAGTCACATAAAACCTAAGAGCTGGTTTCTCGGCATTGCTTTTCTCTCTGTATTGGTTCCAAGTCTGACCAGAATTCTGGGT